AGCTCTTTCCACATTCCATGCATGTATATGGTTTCTCGCCACTGTGAGTTCTTAGATGTGAACTAAGGTGACTGCCCTGACTAAAGCACTTTCCACATTCCATGCATTCATATGGTTTCTCCCCTGTGTGCGTTCTTAGATGGGAATTCAGGGAACTGATATGACTGAAGCACTTCCCACATTCCATGCATTTGTATGGTTTCTCCCCTGTGTGCGTTCTTTGATGGGATCTGAGGTTGCTGCTCTTACTGAAGCTTTTCCCACACTGTAGGCATTTCTCGCCTCTCAGAGGTTTGTCACGTGAAGTACAATCACTGTGCATCGTGATGCTCTTGCCTTTTTCTATGCATTGACTTCGTTTCTACTCTAGATGGACTGTGTCAAGTCTTTTGATATCTGAGGCACCCTTGAATGTTTATTTGCCTAGGGAAACCTTTGTCCTTTCTTTTGATTTTTTTCAGGTCATCAGAAGTGTATCAAATTCCCTAGCAGGAGAAGCTGGAGTTTTCTTTATCTGTTTTTTCCTGGCTTCCCTTCTTCCCCTTTTCCTACTTCTAAGTGTGTAGATTTTTTTGTGCTCCACACTTGGGTTTTGTTTTCAGTGAAAGAATGACTGGCTCCATAGAATTCCTGTCATCCTCTTCATCACCTTATAGAGGAAAAAAAAGAGATAAAAGAGGAGTGCAACGTAAAAGAAATATCTTACTTGTTTGGAGAAGTTCAAATCCCAAGGGCCCGATGAAGTGCATCTAAGGATACTGAAGGAACAGGTTGAAGAAATTGCAGAACCACTGTCTAAATATTCTCGTGTCATCATGGGAGGTGGGTGACGAGCCAGACAGGTGGAGGGGAGCTGACAATGTCCCTATCTATAAAAAGGAGAACCCGGGAACTGCAAACCATTCAGCCTGACATCCATCTCAGCGAAAATTCTTGAGCAGATTACAGAACAGACACTTTGCAAGCAGATTCCAAAGAAGGCAGTTAGAACTGAAAACCGACATAGAAAGACTGAAGGAACTGGACATGTATTGCTTTGAGAAAAAGCGTCTGGGGGGAAGAGAGACGTGATTTTTTTCTTTTTCTTTTTTCGAACATGGCGGACGGGTGCTACTTTGTATTGGTCTGGTCTCTGTGGTTTGTTATTTGTTTTCTTTTGTTAAATTGTGTTTAATTATTTTTTACCTCATTTGATCCTAAAAGCCGGCATTTCAACAAGAGACAGAAATGACTGTAAGAGGGATGGAATCTCAGGGGGTGAGTGAAAACCTTGGGCTGGGTGTTCTTCTAAGAACATCATGGGAGGTTCAGAGTGGCTCCCCCACTTGACAGCAGTACCGTCACTAACATCCAGAAAATTGTGGGAACTGAATGATCCATTCATGATGGACAGTCTAATCTCTTGGGACTTAATCCATTGGATTTCTGAACAGGAAGGGCATTTAGGGTCCTGCTGAAGTCCTGGATTAACATCTCATTTGAATCTCAATTTTAAATTTTGGATTAGGCTCCCACACCTACCGTCACTTACAGAAATTGATGAAGGCTCAGAAGATGTTCGGATCAAATTCCTAACATTGTTACCATCTGTACCCAGGACAAGATTTATAGGGCATTTTCTTTTAACAACATAATGAGGCTTTAAACTTTATAGGATACAGAAAACTTTCCCACCAAGTTTTATTGATACACTGCTTTTCATGGAGAGGGAAGGCAAGAGAATATGGTTTGGATGTATTTGAAACATCGTGTAGACATGAAAGAATGACTATCTCCCTGCCTCAGAACCATTGCTGCTGACAAATCCCAGGGGGGATTGCTTTACCTTTTAAGTTTGATGAATTAACCTATCATCCATTTTATGAAATCCAACTCATATATCTGAGTTTAAATCCCATTGAGTACTGCTTTTGCTTCTCTATCACTTGAGGGAGTGGGGGAGATGTAAATTAACCTGGAAATTTAGCTCATAACTTAACTATTGACCCATTAACACTATAATTAAAACTTCGAATTTTATAATTGATCAAACCTACTGAAAATTATTTCATCAACCAGAACTGATTAACTGAGAAATTATATTATGGCAATTTTATAAACTGTATACACCAACTGACTAACTCTTTTAAATCAGATATACCGTATTTTTCGCTCCATAAGACGCACCTCTCCATAAGACGCACCACATTTTTAGGCGAAGAAAACAGGGAAAAAATAATCTGGGAATTTCGGCCTGCTGGGCCAGTGGGAGTGAGGGTGGGGGAAGCCTCCAAAGGGTCCGAGAGTGCCTTCCAGGACCCTTCGTTTAAGATGTCAGCATCAGAGCTGAATAAGAATATGCTATTAAAGGGCATTAAATTAAATACAGTATATCATCCTACAACTTCAATCAGAATTTCAGACCAACTGTTATTTAGTACAGCTCTCAAGTGGAGCAGAATAACAAATCGCACACTTTGCTTTACCTTCTTTGAGTGCCAAATGGAGACAGGTGATAAAGAAAGCACTCATGCACAAGCTATGAAGTTTCCCCCAGAAATTAATTCTAACCCCCAGATTCCTATCTCAGAAAAATTTCCAAAATGGCACACAAATATGCCTCTGCTGGAGAGATTACTGGAGCTGTCCCAGCAAATACACTTATTACCAATGTAATACCAGACTCCTAAAGAAACAGAACTCTCTGGTTTGGTGGGGGAGGGCAGCTGGGGGCAGAGGGAGAAAGCAAAACTGGTATTTATGTGTTGGCTTTTTTTCCCCTCTACAATTCTGTGTGCAGGAAACCAGGATGTTGCTGAAGACATTATTAGTAATATACAAGTGCTTTTGCGGTCACTGGAGAGAAAAAAAAAGAATGTTGATAGATAAAAGGGAAGTAAAGGAATGCTAAACTCAGGCTACTAGAAATTTCATCAAGATGATGTATTCCCATCATAAATATATCCAAATATAGCTGGAGGTGGAAATGCAACAGTTTATACTATGAACAGAGCACCAAGTATAGCATGAACAAAAGCAGCCTATTTGGATTTAAACCTATTTAGAAAATGAGATTATATCAACTCAAATCCAAACAATTCACCAGAGAAGTGATATACAGACCATATTCTCCAATACCTATTGTCATGACAAACATACAGATTTACACTTCACTTTTACTTTGACACTGACATTTTCCTTTAAAAGCAAGATGTTACCATTTATCAGTAAAAAACACTAACTACAATATTAACTACACTCTCTAATATTAACACTAACTACACTCTCTAGTAATCCATTCTACCATGTTTAGATGTATACTTTCTACATATTTCAAAAACCTCATTGGAAGATAGATTATTCAGTAAGCTATACAGAAAAAGCTATCTCACCCCTGGGCTACCCAAACAGAACTAGCACCCAGTACCTAGTAATGCTAATGGGGCAGAAAAGAGAAAAAAAAACAATATGTGCTTCGACATTCTTTTGCTGATATGAAACTGAAATCACAATCTAAAAATTTCACTATTCAACAACTTTTAAACTTTGCAATGTTTGAAACATTATACAGAGAAGCTTGTCTAACTGAGATAGCAGAGAAGCCATACAAGCTTCTCTGCATAATGGCAATTCCCATGCCATACCCAACTGATCTCTTTAACTTCTTCCTTGCCATTTTCACTCCCAATTCACCCTTCCACTTTCTTTTCTGCTGGACTTGCTAGGAATGAAGGGAAATGCTGAGCTTCAATTTTGCCTAGACTCACACACCTTGTGGTAACAAAGCTCTGCCTCTTAATTCTATTTCTACAAAAACTAGTTGCAATCACCCAGAAAGTACTTTGCACAGGCTCAGAGGGAACAGATTGACCAAGCTTTGGAGGTACCTAACTCAAACTGCCACCTCAGCTTTCCCTTTTTTAAAAGGCTACAGCTGACTTCCCCTAAAAACTCACATCTCTTTAAAAAGCTTTCACACCTTAACTCTGCCACTCAGTCCCATTGTTTCCCATGGCTCTTCCAGATGTGGTCACTTTCAATGGGCCAGGCATTAGTCTTTGTACCAACAGACTCATCACTAAAGATGCACTTTATTTTGACTCAGAGGAGAGCAGCAGACATGCCATCAGCCAAAGTCCCCCAAGAGCCACACTAAAAGTGAAGGGATTGGAGCTGGGGGGTGGGGGAGAAGAGGAAAAGAGTGCAAAGATTTGGGAACTGAGAACGAACCCACTTCTCGCCTGTAGTGTCAATGCAAACTCTTCTCCCGAGTACCGCGAAGGAAGTCTTAAGTTTAGAGGCTAATTCCCAATCGCGAGTGGTTGCAACCGGCAGCCCCAGGGGGTGGGGGAGGGTTTAAAGGCACAGCGCTCTGCAATTGTTGCTGGACTTCCATTCAACTTACCCCAGGAGACCTCACGAAGAGGCCAACCAGCTCTCTTCTCCTCTAGTTTTTGTCTTAACAGCAGGAGCCTCGTCAGCCCCTCTCCCTGCCTGCCCATCTCCCTCTCTACACGCTCCGTCAAGACCATCCAGCCAAAAAGTTGTCTCCCGGGAATTCTGCCTCAGACCCCCTTCCTTCCCTCCCTCCCGTCCCTTTTCTCCCACCAACGCGCCTAAGCAAAACACTGACGCCTGCAATGTGGGGAGGTGCAGACCCGCTGCTGATGCTGTTGAGGGAGCAGCCGAAAGTGTGCGGTGTGTCTGCACAGCACCAGCAGAAGCGCTGCCGCCAAATATGCATGCAGCAAGCGAAACTCCCGAGACCCAGCAGTGCGAGCGAGCGAGTCTCTGCTAGCAGAGAGGATAGTCGCCGCCGGCTCTGCCAAGACCCAGCAGTGCAAGTGAGTCTCTGCGTCTCTGCTAGCAGAGAGGATAGTTGCAGCCATCTCCTGAGACCCAGCAGTGCAAGCGAGTCTCCGCTAGCAGAGAGGATAGTCGCTGCCACCAACAATCCCCCCTCCATTTTTCCTTTTCCCGGTCGTGGAATCCAACCAAAACAAAAGCCTCAAAAGCTGCCGATTTTGCCCCCGCTGGCCCCGTTGGGAGTTGGGGGAGCTCCCAGGAGTTCTGGAAGGCAGACTCGGACCCTTGGGAGGCTCCCCCCCACGGGGTCAGTGGGGGTGAAATCGCTGCCTTCACTCAATAAGACGCAGAGACTTTCCCAAGCACGTTTTGGGAGAGAAAAAGTGTGTCTTATGGAGCAAAAAATACAGTATACTATTTATTCTCACATTGCACCTTAACCACAACAGCATTTGTCATCTGAGATCGTGGTCCTGTGACCTAGTGTAGGGAATGAATAACATCCAAATGGCAATGGGCAGGGAAAAGTACAGTGCTGGCCCAAGAGGAAGTAGATCTAGAAGAAAGGGGGTCAGATATCTGAAGCCTGTCCCTTCTTCTAGCTTGGATGCCAGTGGCCAGATATGAGGTAACTTGCTCAGGCAACCCTTGTGACCGTGTGAGTGGGTTTATTTATTTATTGGATTTCTCTCCCGCTCATCTAGACCAAAGGCCTATTCTGGGCGGTTTACAAATATAAAAACAATAAAACCAAAAACATATATTATAGGTCAAAGATGGTGAAGTATACTAAATTAAGATATGGCAGGAAGGAAAGCCTGCCCAAATAAACAGGTTCTAAGGTTATTTCTGAAAACACCCAGAGAGGGAGCCATGCGGATCTCAACTGGCAAGTTGTTCCAAAGGCTAGGGACCACTGCCGAGAAGGCCCTCCTCCTTTCCTTCTAGACCTCCCTCAGTATTAGACCCCTCAGCTGCCCTGCGTGGCTGGAATGAATGATTCTGGCAGAACTGGGTGGGAGAAGGTGCTCCGCCAGATATTGAGGTCCTAAACCATTCAGGGTTTTATATGTCATCATAAGGACTTTGAAATCAATGTGGAAACGAATGGGCAGCCAATGCAAGGCGGCCAGCGTGGGGGGATATGTTGGTACATTTTCAGCCCTGTAAGAAGTCTGGCCACCGTGTTTTGTATCATCTGAAGTTTCCGTGACAGTCTCAAAGGCAGCCCCACGTAGAATGCATTACAGTAGTCTAATCTTGATACTATGAGTGCATGGACCAAAGTGGTGAGCGCCGCCACATCAAGATAGGGACACAGCTGGGCAATCTGCCAAATGTGGAAATGTGTGGAATGGACCACAGATGACACCTGGGTCTCCATGGTGAGCACCGGGTCCAGATGTACACCCAAACTGCGAACCTCAATCTCGGTGGTAAGAGTCACCCCCCCAAAGGAAAGTGAGTTTCACAGACCACTGATATCTGGGACACCCACCTGAAAGACCTATGTCTTGCTTGGATTCAGCCTCAGTGCATTCACCTGCATCCATTGCCGAACAGCCCCCAGGCAGCACTCAAGGGACGAAACAGCATCCACTGTTATTG